TTCCTCTCATATCCATCAGCATCGCCCTTTCCTCTCATATCCATCAGCATCGCCCTTTCCTCTCATATCCATCAGCATCGCCCTTTCCTCTCATATCCATCAGCATCGCCCTTTCCTCTCATATCCATCAGCATCGCCCTTTCCTCTCATATCCATCAGCATCGCCCTTTCCTCTCATATCCATCAGCATCGCCCTTTCCTCTCATATCCATCAGCATCGCCCTTTCCTCTCATATCCATCAGCATCGCCCTTTCCTCTCATATCCATCAGCATCGCCCTTTCCTCTCATATCCATCAGCATCGCCCTTTCCTCTCATATCCATCAGCATCGCCCTTTCCTCTCATATCCATCAGCATCGCCCTTTCCTCTCATATCCATCAGCATCGCCCTTTCCTCTCATATCCATCAGCATCGCCCTTTCCTCTCATATCCATCAGCATCTCCCTTTCCTCTCATATCCATCAGCATCGCCCTTTCCTCTCATATCCATCAGCATCGCCCTTTCCTCTCATATCCATCAGCATCGCCCTTTCCTCTCATATCCATCAGCATCGCCCTTTCCTCTCATATCCATCAGCATCGCCCTTTCCTCTCATATCCATCAGCATCGCCCTTTCCTCTCATATCCATCAGCATCGCCCTTTCCTCTCATATCCATCAGCATCGCCCTTTCCTCTCATATCCATCAGCATCGCCCTTTCCTCTCATATCCATCAGCATCGCCCTTTCCTCTCATATCCATCAGCATCGCCCTTTCCTCTCATATCCATCAGCATCTCCCTTTCCTCTCATATCCATCAGCATCGCCCTTTCCTCTCATATCCATCAGCATCGCCCTTTCCTCTCATATCCATCAGCATCGCCCTTTCCTCTCATATCCATCAGCATCGCCCTTTCCTCTCATATCCATCAGCATCGCCCTTTCCTCTCATATCCATCAGCATCGCCCTTTCCTCTCATATCCATCAGCATCGCCCTTTCCTCTCATATCCATCAGCATCGCCCTTTCCTCTCATATCCATCAGCATCCCTTTCCTCTCATATCCATCAGCATCGCCCTTTCCTCTCATATCCATCAGCATCGCCCTTTCCTCTCATATCCATCAGCATCGCCCTTTCCTCTCATATCCATCAGCATCGCCCTTTCCTCTCATATCCATCAGCATCGCCCTTTCCTCTCATATCCATCAGCATCGCCCTTTCCTCTCATATCCATCAGCATCCTTTCCTCTCATATCCATCAGCATCGCCCTTTCCTCTCATATCCATCAGCATCGCCTTTCCTCTCATATCCATCAGCATCGCCCTTTCCTCTCATATCCATCAGCATCCTTTCCTCTCATATCCATCAGCATCGCCCTTTCCTCTCATATCCATCAGCATCGCCCTTTCCTCTCATATCCATCAGCATCGCCCTTTCCTCTCATATCCATCAGCATCGCCCTTTCCTCTCATATCCATCAGCATCGCCCTTTCCTCTCATATCCATCAGCATCGCCCTTTCCTCTCATATCCATCAGCATCGCCCTTTCCTCTCATATCCATCAGCATCGCCCTTTCCTCTCATATCCATCAGCATCGCCCTTTCCTCTCATATCCATCAGCATCGCCCTTTCCTCTCATATCCATCAGCATCGCCCTTTCCTCTCATATCCATCAGCATCGCCCTTTCCTCTCATATCCATCAGCATCGCCCTTTCCTCTCATATCCATCAGCATCTCCCTTTCCTCTCATATCCATCAGCATCGCCCTTTCCTCTCATATCCATCAGCATCGCCCTTTCCTCTCATATCCATCAGCATCGCCCTTTCCTCTCATATCCATCAGCATCGCCCTTTCCTCTCATATCCATCAGCATCGCCCTTTCCTCTCATATCCATCAGCATCGCCCTTTCCTCTCATATCCATCAGCATCGCCCTTTCCTCTCATATCCATCAGCATCGCCCTTTCCTCTCATATCCATCAGCATCGCCCTTTCCTCTCATATCCATCAGCATCGCCCTTTCCTCTCATATCCATCAGCATCGCCCTTTCCTCTCATATCCATCAGCATCGCCCTTTCCTCTCATATCCATCAGCATCGCCCTTTCCTCTCATATCCATCAGCATCGCCCTTTCCTCTCATATCCATCAGCATCGCCCTTTCCTCTCATATCCATCAGCATCGCCCTTTCCTCTCATATCCATCAGCATCGCCCTTTCCTCTCATATCCATCAGCATCGCCCTTTCCTCTCATATCCATCAGCATCCCTTTCCTCTCATATCCATCAGCATCGCCCTTTCCTCTCATATCCATCAGCATCGCCCTTTTCTCATATCCATCAGCATCGCCCTTTCCTCTCATATCCATCAGCATCCCTTTCCTCTCATATCCATCAGCATCGCCCTTTCCTCTCATATCCATCAGCATCCCTTTCCTCTCATATCCATCAGCATCGCCCTTTCCTCTCATATCCATCAGCATCGCCCTTTCCTCTCATATCCATCAGCATCGCCCTTTCCTCTCATATCCATCAGCATCGCCCTTTCCTCTCATATCCATCAGCATCGCCCTTTCCTCTCATATCCATCAGCATCGCCCTTTCCTCTCATATCCATCAGCATCGCCCTTTCCTCTCATATCCATCAGCATCGCCCTTTCCTCTCATATCCATCAGCATCGTCCTCCATTCCTCAGCATCCCCTTCCTCTCATATCCATCAGCATCGCCCTTTCCTCTCATATCCATCAGCATCGCCCTTCCTCTCATATCCATCAGCATCGCCCTTTCCTCTTCATATCCATCAGCATCGTCCCTTTTCCTCTCATATCCATCAGCATCGCCCTTCCTCTCATATCCATCCAGCATCGCCCTTTCCTCTCATATCCATCAGCATCGCCCTTTCCTCTCATATCCATCAGCATCGCCCTTTCCTCTCATAATCCATCCAGCATCGCCCCTTTCCTTCTCATATCCATCAGCATCGCCCTTTTCCTCTCATATCCATCAGCATCGCCCTTTCCTCTCATATCCATCAGCATCGCCCTTTCCTCTCATATCCATCAGCATCGCCCTTTCCTCTCATATCCATCAGCATCGCCCTTTCCCTCTCATATCCATCAGCATCGCCCTTTCCTCTCATATCCATCAGCATCGCCCTTTCCTCTCATATCCATCAGCATCGCCCTTTCCTCTCATATCCATCAGCATCGCCCTTTCCTCTCATATCCATCAGCATCGCCCCTTTCCTCTCATATCCATCAGCATCCCCTTCCTTCATATCCATCAGCATCGCCCTTTCCTCTCATATCCATCAGCATCGCCCTTTCCTCTCATATCCATCAGCATCGCCCTTTCCTCTCATATCCATCAGCATCGCCCTTTCCTCTCATATCCATCAGCATCGCCCTTTCCTCTCATATCCATCAGCATCGCCCTTTCCTCTCATATCCATCAGCATCCCCTCCTCTCATATCCTCACTCGCCCTCCTCCATATCCATCAGCATCGCCCTTTCCTCTCATATCCATCAGCATCGCCCTTTCCTCTCATATCCATCAGCATCGCCCTTTCCTCTCATATCCATCAGCATCGCCCTTTCCTCTCATATCCATCAGCATCTCCCTTTCCTCTCATATCCATCAGCATCGCCCTTTCCTCTCATATCCATCAGCATCGCCCTTTCCTCTCATATCCATCAGCATCGCCCTTTCCTCTCATATCCATCAGCATCGCCCTTTCCTCTCATATCCATCAGCATCGCCCTTTCCTCTCATATCCACCCCCCCCTCTCATATCCATCAGCATCGCCCTTTCCTCTCATATCCATCAGCATCGCCCTTTCCTCTCATATCCATCAGCATCGCCCTTTCCTCTCATATCCATCAGCATCGCCCTTTCCTCTCATATCCATCAGCATCGCCCTTTCCTCTCATATCCATCAGCATCGCCCTTTCCTCTCATATCCATCAGCATCGCCCTTTCCTCTCATATCCATCAGCATCGCCCTTTCCTCTCATATCCATCAGCATCGCCCTTTCCTCTCATATCCATCAGCATCGCCCTTTCCTCTCATATCCATCAGCATCGCCCTTTCCTCTCATATCCATCAGCATCGCCCTTTCCTCTCATATCCATCAGCATCGCCCTTTCCTCTCATATCCATCAGCATCCCCTTTCCTCTCATATCCATCAGCATCGCCCTTTCCTCTCATATCCATCAGCATCTCCCTTTCCTCTCATATCCATCAGCATCGCCCTTTCCTCTCATATCCATCAGCATCGCCCTTTCCTCTCATATCCATCAGCATCGCCCTTTCCTCTCATATCCATCAGCATCGCCCTTTCCTCTCATATCCATCAGCATCTCCCTTTCCTCTCATATCCATCAGCATCGCCCTTTCCTCTCATATCCATCAGCATCGCCCTTTCCTCTCATATCCATCAGCATCGCCCTTTCCTCTCATATCCATCAGCATCTCCCTTTCCTCTCATATCCATCAGCACCTCCCTTTCCTCTCATATCCATCAGCATCGCCCTTTCCTCTCATATCCATCAGCATCTACCTTTCCTCTCATATCCATCAGCATCGCCCTTTCCTCTCATATCCATCAGCATCGCCCTTTCCTCTCATATCCATCAGCATCGCCCTTTCCTCTCATATCCATCAGCATCGCCCTTTCCTCTCATATCCATCAGCATCTCCCTTTCCTCTCATATCCATCAGCATCGCCCTTTCCTCTCATATCCATCAGCATCTCCCTTTCCCCTCATATCCATCAGCATCTCCCTTTCCTCTCATATCCATCAGCATGGCCCTTTCCTCTCATATCCATCAGCATCTCCCTTTCCACTCATATCCATCAGCATCGCCCTTTCCTCTCCGAATCTCACCACTGACGTCGTGCCGCGCCCTGCCATGCCGCGCCCTGCCATGCCGCGCCCTGCCATGGCATATCGCTCATGCGTGCACCCTTTATGCATCCATGTCTCATAATCCCCCTACCCTCGCCCAGGTGACGGCAGCATCCATCCGCATTGTGGAGCAGCCATGGCAGCGAGTGGCGGTGGCGGGACGGCCGCATGACCATGGTACGGTACGGTGCCATAATGGTGCGGCACGGTGCTTTGCGTTGTGGTGTGGTGTGGTCTGGTAGGGTGGGGGTGAGGTGTGGGATTCAGATTAAACCTTGTCATGGTAATTAGTTGCGATGGTGACTTGCTACAGTGATGCGATACTGTGATGCTGTGTGGATGGTGTATGGTAGCTGAAACTGCATGGTCAACAGAGGCAGTCGAGCTTGTAAAAGCTCTCTTCTTTTCAAGAAAATCCTCGTGTCTGCGCCCGCCCACCCGTTCAAGAACTTGATGTGGCTAACGCACTCACGATGGACTTCATGCATCACTGCATGGATTGGCATGGCATGGCACGTGAACGTCATGGTATGGTATGGCATGGTATGGTATGGTATGGCATGGCACGCGAATGGCATGGCATGGGATGTGAATGGTATGAATGGCATGGAATCTATTGGCATGGCATGTGAGTGATGGCTGCCGCGTGTGCGGCGAGTGGCAGGGTTCTCCCTGGGCAGGGAGAGGCGCGTGGCGGACGTGCGGGTGGATGCCGCGGGGCAGCACACTGTGCGGGCGGGCGTTGAGGACTACTCCGTGCTCAAGACCACGCAGGTGAGGCATGCTAGGGCATGGCTCAAGACCACGCAGGTGAGTGTGAGGGTTTATACACTGACTGAAGTGTTCGTGGATGGCGAGTCAAACCCTCTCAAACACGACATCATGATGCGCTTGCCACCTCTCACTGTTTCTCTCCTCGCCTCTCAGCCTTTTCCACCCTTTCGCTCCAGCTTTGGTCGCTTCACCCTCACGTGTAACCCCCCAGCCCGGTTTCCTTCACATTGGAAGACATTTCTTTCTCTCTGCTCCCCCAACACCCTTCGTCCCTCCTCTTAATGTGGCGTCAACGGCTTCATACGCGATAAGACCACTCTGCTCCCAGACACCAGATAGGGCGTCGTAATCAATTCCATTTCCGGCCTTTGCTCTCTGCTTTCCTTACCCCCTCAAACATCAGTCTGGCTTTGAGGGCTTCATCCGCGATGAGAACACACTGCTGCCCGACACCAGAGAGCGCATCCTCGCCACCACGGTGCAGGCCACGTGGAGGTGAGCAGTGATTGCCACGTGGAGGTGGGTGAGGGTATGAGTGGGTGAGGGTGTCAGTTGGGTGTTTTATGGGGAGGTGCGGCATGACTGTCACTTGACACATCAAGGACCGCTTCCTTGCCACAGTTGTGCGAGGAACCGCCACGTGGACGACGAGTGACAGACCCTAGGAATCGCTGCAGATGTGGGCCCTTTCGGCTTGCCAGCCTTGTCGCTGTTGCCTTGCAAGCCCCGCCAAGTATACGATTCGAGCAAATCTCCGCGCTTTTTTAGCCGTGAATCAGACTCTCCCGTTCCCCTTGACACCCCTCGTTGGACGTCCCCCCTCCGACCGCCCCTCACAGACTCTTATTTTGACCCTCAACCATGCCTTCACATCCTCCCTCCCACTCCTCCCACCCCCCCCGTTCACGGCCCCCAGCTACACTCGCGACCCCCCATGCTTCAACACTGCCTTCTCAGCGGCCAAGGCAGCCCTCTCAGACACGTTCTTCGGGCCGCCTCAAGGAGGAGTGTACAGCCCCTCAGTGCAGCGCACGCTCTTCCTCATGGCCAACCAGGTGCTCGCCAGGTGCGCTCGCTTGCTTGCACGCTCTAAGCTGCGCCTCACAGCCGGGTCTACAGCCCCGCTGTGCAGCACTCCCTGTTTCTCATGGGCAAGGGGTGCTCACGAGGTGAGGCGGTTCGATGCAGCGCCCCCTTATCCTCTTGGCCCATTTACTCTTTGAGCTCCCCTTGAGCTCCTTTTCCATCCCGTCCCCCGTGCTGCTGTCCCCCGTGCTGCTGTCCCCCGTGCTGCCGGCCCACGTGCTGCTGGCCCACGTGCTGCTGGCCCACGTGCTGCTGGCCCATGTGCTGCTGGCCGACTCCATTTTGAGTTCCTCACTGCCTTCTGAGTCAAGCCTAAGGGTGCCGCCATCTCCTGTATCTCTCTGTCTCTCTCGCACTGCATGCGCCATCAGAGTGCCCGAGGCGGACGACGTGCATCTGAAGCTGCCCAATCTGCACTTCATCCCGGTCAACCTGCCAGGCATTGTCAAGGTGGGTCGCTGCTCACAGGAAATCATTGCTTGCCGCCAGCAATCACCACCACTTGTGTGCTGTGCTGCCCCATCGCCCTGCCGTGTTGTCCAATTGTCCCGCTCCGTCTGCGCCCCACCCCCATGTGTGCTACTCCCTCCTCCCCCAGTGTGAGGACGACGTCTATCTGCCAACCAGCGAGCCCCATGGCAGCATCGAGGCATGTGTCTCCCGCAGCATATCATCGCCTGCAGCAAGGCTCTGAGTCAGCAGCGCTTGCTGCCAGGCTGTGAGGCTAAGCTGAGCCGAGCCGCAGTAGAGGCCACAGCTCGTTTCTCCTTGCGCACCGGTTCCTAATCTGGCTTTCCGCAACACTGACTCACCTGTGTGTCGCCATTGGCCACAGCCCGTGGACTCCACCCTGTGCACGATGTGGGTGTAGGTTGCACGTGCTGCTGGGGACTGGCATCTGCTGTTGTGCAGTAGCCTTGTACAGTTCTTGGTTGCCGTATTTGACAGTAAAAAGTGCAGAATGGGCTACATAGATCAGGACCTTTTGCAGTTTATCAATATAGCGATGATCGATCTGTACAAAGATCCAACCAGCAGCACTCCCTGCCTGTACGCCTGGGACTCCAGAGATATTGATGGCTGCTGATGCGGCGGAAAGAAAGGATGACGTGAGATGAGAAGTGAGGTGACAGCATGGCATGGCAGCACAAATGTGCACTGAGGCCGCAAGACAGTCCGCATGGATGCGCGAGGTAGCCATACAGGGGGCGGTTGAAGTGGCAGCATGGCAGGGCGTGGCAAGGGCATGAATGTGGCCGCATGGCAGGGCGTGGCAAGGGCATGAATGTGGCAAGGGCATGAATGTGGCCGCATGGCAGGGCGTGGCAAGGGCATGAATGTGGCCGCATGGCAGGGCGTGGCAAGGGCATGAATGTGGCCGCATGGCAGGGCGTGGCAAGGGCATAAATGTGGCCGCATGGCAGGGCGTGGCAAGGGTATGAATGTGGCCGCATGGCAGGGCGTGGCAAGGGTATGAATGTGGCCGCATGGCAGGGCGTGGCAAGGGCATGAATGTGGCCGCATGGCAGGGCGTGGCAAGGGCATGGATGTGGGGGCGTGTTGGAGACCAGCTGCCCGTGGCAGCTCATGTGCTTGCAGGGATATAGCCATGCAGGGCGAGGTGGCAGTATGCCAACACAGCGCCGCCCATGTGACAGCCTGGCATGGAGCGAGCCTCAGCGAGCAGCGAGGCCTGCAGGACAGGGAAACAGGTAAGGAAGAGAGGAGCAGCCGTTGATTACACGGTAACAGGTGAGGAAGAGAGGAGCAGCCGTTGATTACACGGTAACAGGTAAGGAAGAGAGGAGCAGCCGTTGATTACACGGTAACAGGTGAGGAAGAGAGGACCAGCCGTTGATTACACGGTAACAGGTGAGGAGAGAGGAGCAGCCGTTGATTACACGGTAACAGGTGAGGAAGAGAGGAGCAGCCGTTGATTACACGGTAACAGGTGAGGAAGAGAGGAGCAGCCGTTGATTACACGGTAACAGGTGAGGAAGAGAGGAGCAGCCGTTGATTACACGGTAACAGGTGAGGAAGAGAGGAGCAGCCGTTGATTACACGGAAACAGGTGAGGAAGAGAGGAGCAGCCGTTGATTACACGGTAACAGGTGAGGAAGAGAGGAGCAGCCGTTGATTACACGGTAAACAGGTGAGGAAGAGAGGAGCAGCCGTTGATTACACGGTAACAGGTGAGGAAGAGAGGAGCAGCCGTTGATTACACGGTAACAGGTAAGGAAGAGAGGAGCAGCCGTTGATTACACGGTAACAGGTGAGGAAGAGAGGAGCAGCCGTTGATTACACGGTAACAGGTGAGGAAGAGAGGAGCAGCCGATGATTACACGGATACAGGTGAGGAAGAGAGGAGCAGCCGTTGATTACACGGTAACAGGTGAGGAAGAGAGGAGCAGCCGTTGATTACACGGTAACAGGTGAGGAAGAGAGGAGCAGCCGTTGATTACACGGTAACAGGTGAGGAAGAGAGGAGCAGCCGTTGATTACACGGTAACAGGTGAGGAAGAGAGGAGCAGCCGTTGATTACACGGTAACAGGTGAGGAAGAGAGGAGCAGCCGTTGATTACACGGTAACAGGTGAGGAAGAGAGGAGCAGCCGTTGATTACACGGTAACAGGTGAGGAAGAGAGGAGCAGCCGTTGATTACACGGTAACAGGTGAGGAAGAGAGGAGCAGCCGTTGATTACACGGAAACAGGTGAGGAAGAGAGGAGCAGCCGTTGATTACACGGTAACAGGTGAGGAAGAGAGGAGCAGCCGTTGATTACACGGTAACAGGTGAGGAAGAGAGGAGCAGCCTTTGATTACACGGTAACAGGTGAGGAAGAGAGGAGCAGCCGTTGATTACACGGTAACAGGTGAGGAAGAGAGGAGCAGCCGTTGATTACACGGTAACAGGTGAGGAAGAGAGGAGCAGCCGTTGATTACACGGAAACAGGTGAGGAAGAGAGGAGCAGCTGTTGATTACACGGTAACAGGTGAGGAAGAGAGGAGCAGCCGTTGATTACACGGTAACAGGTGAGGAAGAGAGGAGCAGCCGTTGATTACACGGTAACAGGTAAGGAAGAGAGGAGCAGCCGTTGATTACACGGTAACAGGTGAGGAAGAGAGGAGCAGCCGTTGATTACACGGTAACAGGTGAGGAAGAGAGGAGCAGCCGTTGATTACACGGAAACAGGTGAGGAAGAGAGGAGCAGCCGTTGATTACACGGAAACAGGTGAGGAAGAGAGGAGCAGCCGTTGATTACACGGTAACAGGTGAGGAAGAGAGGAGCAGCCGTTGATTACACGGTAACAGGTGAGGAAGAGAGGAGCAGCCGTTGATTACACGGAAACAGGTGAGGAAGAGAGGAGCAGCCGTTGATTACACGGTAACAGGTGAGGAAGAGAGAGGAGCAGCCGTTGATTACACGGTAACAGGTGAGGAAGAGAGAGGAGCAGCCGTTGATTACACGGTAACAGGTGAGGAAGAGAGGAGCAGCCGTTGATGTACACGGTAACAGGTGAGGAAGAGAGGAGCAGCCGTTGATTACACGGTAACAGGTGAGGAAGAGAGGAGCAGCCGTTGATTACACGGTAACAGGTGAGGAAGAGAGGAGCAGCCGTTGATTACACGGTAACAGGTGAGGAAGAGAGGAGCAGCCGTTGATTACACGGTAACAGGTGAGGAAGAGAGGAGCAGCCGTTGATTACACGGAAACAGGTGAGGAAGAGAGGAGCAGCCGTTGATTACACGGAAAAGGTGAGGAGAGGAGCAGCCGTTGATTACACGGTAACAGGTGAGGAAGAGAGGAGCAGCCGTTGATTACACGGTAACAGGTGAGGAAGAGAGGAGCAGCCGTTGATTACACGGTAACAGGTAAGGAAGAGAGGAGCAGCCGTTGATTACACGGTAACAGGTGAGGAAGAGAGGAGCAGCCGTTGATTACACGGTAACAGGTGAGGAAGAGAGGAGCAGCCGTTGATTACACGGAACAGGTTGAGGAAGAGAGGAGCAGCCGTTGATTACACGGAAACAGGTGAGGAAGAGAGGAGGCAGCCGTTGATTACACGGTAACAGGTGAGGAAGAGAGGAGCAGCCGTTGATTAACGGTAACAGGTGAGGAGAGAGGAGCAGCCGTTGATTACACGGTAACAGGTGAGGAAGAGAGGAGCAGCCGTTGATTACACGGTAAACAGGTGAGGAAGAGAGGAGCAGCCGTTGATTACACGGTAACAGGTGAGGAAGAGAGGAGCAGCCGTTGATTACACGGTAACAGGTGAGGAAGAGAGGAGCAGCCGTTGATTACACGGTAACAGGTGAGGAAGAGAGGAGCAGCCGTTGATTACACGGAAACAGGTGAGGAAGAGAGGAGCAGCCGTTGATTACACGGTAACAGGTGAGGAAGAGAGGAGCAGCCGTTGATTACACGGTAACAGGTGAGGAAGAGAGGAGCAGCCGTTGATTACACACGGTAACAGGTGAGGAAGAGAGGAGCAGCCGTTGATTACACGGAAACAGGTGAGGAAGAGAGGAGCAGCCGTTGATTACACGGATAAACAGGTGAGGAAGAGAGGAGCAGCCGTTGATTACACGGTAACAGGTGAGGAAGAGAGGAGCAGCCGTTGATTACACGGTAACAGGTGAGGAAGAGAGGAGCAGCCGTTGATTACACGGTAACAGGTGAGGAAGAGAGGAGCAGCCGTTGATTACACGGTAACAGGTGAGGAAGAGAGGAGCAGCCGTTGATTACACAGGTAAACAGGTGAGGAAGAGAGGAGCAGCCGTTGATTACACGGTAACAGGTGAGGAAGAGAGGAGCAGCCGTTGATTACACGGTAACAGGTGAGGAAGAGAGGAGCAGCCGTTGATTACACGGTAACAGGTGAGGAAGAGAGGGAGCAGCCGTTGATTACACGGTAACAGGTGAGGAAGAGAGGAGCAGCCGTTGATTACACGGTAACAGGTGAGGAAGAGAGGAGCAAGCCGTTGATTACACGGTAACAGGTGAGGAAGAGAGGAGCAGCCGTTGATTACACGGTAACAGGTGAGGAAGAGAGGAGCAGCCGTTGATTACACGGTAACAGGTGAGGAAGAGAGGAGCAGCCGTTGATTACACGGTAACAGGTGAGGAAGAGAGGAGCAGCCGTTGATTACACGGTAACAGGTGAGGAAGAGAGGAGCAGCCGTTGATTACACGGTAACAGGTGAGGAAGAGAGGAGCAGCCGTTGATTACACGGTAAACAGGTGAGGAAGAGAGGAGCAGCCGTTGATTACCACGGTAACACAGGTGAGGAAGAGAGGAGCAGCCGTTGATTACACGGTAACAGGTGAGGAAGAGAGGAGCAGCCGTTGATTACACGGTAACAGGTGAGGAAGAGAGGAGCAGCCGTTGATTACACGGTAACAGGTGAGGAAGAGAGGAGCAGCCGTTGATTTACACGGTAACAGGTGAGGAAGAGAGGAGCAGCCGTTGATTACACGGTAACAGGTGAGGAAGAGAGGAGCAGCCGTTGATTACACGGAAACAGGTGAGGAAGAGAGGAGCAGCCGTTGATTACACGGAAACAGGTGAGGAAGAGAGGAGCAGCCGTTGATTACACGGTAACAGGTGAGGAAGAGAGGAGCAGCCGTTGATTACAACGGTAACAGGTGAGGAAGAGAGGAGCAGCCGTTGATTACACGGTAACAGGTGAGGAAGAGAGGAGCAGCCGTTGATTACACGGTACAGGTAGGAAGAGAGGAGCAGCCGTTGATTACACAGAAACAGGTGAGGAAGAGAGGAGCAGCCGTTGATTACACGGTAACAGGTGAGGAAGAGAGGAGCAGCCGTTGATTACACGGTAACAGGTGAGGAAGAGAGGAGCAGCCGTTGATTACACGGTAACAGGTGAGGAAGAGAGGAGCAGCCGTTGATTACACGGAAACAGGTGAGGAAGAGAGGAGCAGCCGTTGATTACACGGTAACAGGTGAGGAAGAGAGGAGCAGCCGTTGATTACACGGTAACAGGTGAGGAAGAGAGGAGCAGCCGTTGATTACACGGTAACAGGTGAGGAAGAGAGGAGCAGCCGTTGATTACACGGTAACAGGTGAGGAAGAGAGGAGCAGCCGTTGATTACACGGAAACAGGTGAGGAAGAGAGGAGCAGCCGTTGATTACACGGTAAACAGGTGAGGAAGAGAGGAGCAGCCGTTGATTACACGGTAACAGGTGAGGAAGAGAGGAGCAGCCGTTGATTACACGGTAACAGGTGAGGAAGAGAGGAGCAGCCGTTGATTACACGGTAACAGGTGAGGAAGAGAGGAGCAGCCGTTGATTACACGGTAACAGGTGAGGAAGAGAGGAGCAGCCGTTGATTACACGGAAACAGGTGAGGAAGAGAGGAGCAGCCGTTGATTACACGGTAACAGGTGAGGAAGAGAGGAGCAGCCGTTGATTACACGGTAACAGGTGAGGAAGAGAGGAGCAGCCGTTGATTACACGGTAACAGGTGAGGAAGAGAGGAGCAGCCGTTGATTACACGGTAACAGGTGAGGAAGAGAGGAGCAGCCGTTGATTACACGGTAACAGGTGAGGAAGAGAGGAGCAGCCGTTGATTACACGGTAACAGGTGAGGAAGAGAGGAGCAGCCGTTGATTACACGGTAACAGGTGAGGAAGAGAGGAGCAGCCGTTGATTACACGGTAACAGGTGAGGA